TTTTTTTTATTGTATGTCAAGTGAAGGCTTACAGAACAAATAGTTTCTCATGAAACAGTAGTACACATATTGTTTTATGACATTGGTTAACAACCCCACAACATGTCAACCCTCTCCCTTCTCAACCTTTTTTTTTTTTTTTTTGGTGAAAATATACATAGCCAAAGATACACCACTTCAAAAATTTCTACACGTACAGTTCAGTGACATCGACTACGTTCTTCCAATTGTGCTGCTATTCTCACTTTAGATGAAGGCTTACAGAACAAAATAGTTTCTCATTTAACAGTTAGTACACGTGTTGCCCTATGACAATGGTTAACAACCTCACAACACATCAGCACTATCCTTACTCAACCTTGGGTTCTCTATCACCAGCTTTCCTGTCCCCTTCTGCCTTCTGGCCCTTGTCCCTGGACTGCTGTGCCTCATTAGTCCCATTTGCTTTTATGGGGCTGTCCACTCCCCGGCTGAACGCTGAATGTAGGAAATGACTTCACCACTGAGCTAAAAGGGTGTCTGGGGGCCATACTCTCGGGGTTTCTCCAGTCCCCTTTAGGCCAGTAAATCTGGTCTTTTTTTTTTTTTTTTGTGAGTTAGAAGTTTGTTCTACGTCCTTCTCCAGCTCTGTCCAGAACCCTCTGTTGTGATCCTGGTGAGAGCAGTCAGTGGTGGTAGCTGGGCACCATCTAGCTGTACTGGACTCAGTCTGGTGGAGGCCTGAAAGTTCAAATTTTTATCAAGGAATTGGGAAAGTCCCAGTAAAGCAGAAATTATTGGTTTCTTTAATGGTAGACCAACACTAGCATGGAATAACCTTTGGTGTTCACCATGGTTGCTGTAAACTCTCTGAGGCTGTCTTCTCACCTAATGTAAGAGTAGCCCTCTGGAATGTTCTCAACATCACTCACCATCTTCCTACCATTCCCTTCATTTTAATAACATACTAATTTACGAAAGCAACTGAGATTCCAACCAAACCACACTACCCATTGATTATGGCTATTTGTTGACATACCCTCCTTGCCTTTTTGCATGATCATGTATTCAGAAGCCTAATAGCATACTGTACTTAATCATTATTATCTTGCTTTAAATATTTGGGAATAATTGGAAATTTTTGTTCTTGCCTATTTTATAACCCAGATTTGTAGTGTGGAAATGACTGAATTTATAAAATCCTCAGAGCAAACATGCTCATGTGAAGTATTATTGTTATCCCTTGCTATTATTAGCACTTGAATTTATGGAGCGCTGACCGTATATGATTTTTAAAAAGAAACAAACAGAGATCGACAATGTTTTGTAATTTCCTGATGCCAAGGAAGGTGAATGTTCGCTTTTTCAAATTCAGCCTGGTCATTTTGTGCCTTTAGATAGAGGTGATACACAATCCACGATTCTAGTAGAGAAGACTTAGGAGGTAAAATTGCTTTTCAAAATGACAAGGTTAGGAAGCATAATTCTGCGATGAATGACTGTGCAAAATTATGTTTACAAAATACAGATAAATTCCACTTTGAAAGTGGAGCAAAGCCTGTATTGTGATATCTTGACTTCCTAGGCAGCCGTGGTGGTATAGTGGTTAAGAGCTACAGCTGCTAACCAAAAGGTTGGCAGTTCGAATCCGTCAGCCACTCCCTGGAAGCCGTTCGGGGCATTTCTGCTCTGTCCTATAGGGTCCTATAGGATCGCTATGAGTTGAAATTGGGTCGACGGCAATGGGTTTGTTTTTTTTCGTTGATTTCCTAGAGTGTCAAAAGATGAAAACTGCTTGGAAGAGACTAAAGTATTGTTTCTCCACTACCTTCCTGCATTCCATTGCAGGAGTCACTCCCAATCCATTAAGCCATTTTCATGTTTTAGCAGAACCAAGAAGGTGTGTACAGATGGATAAAAACTCTTGAAACTTGGGTAGAAATGCTTAGCTTGGTGGTTTCTTACACCTGGATCTCTTGCACACTGACGTCCTAAATTAGGGGCAGTGTTTCCTGTTCATATATCTTTTTCTCACCCATGTGCCTTAATGCAAGTCTGTAACAATTCCATGACATAATACTCCACTCCACCCCGTAAGAAATACCAAAATCCTTTAAATTTTTGAATGCCCCGGGCAGTTTAAAATTTGCTAAAATATTATTGAATTCATGACCAAAGAATGTGAGTTTAATTTTCTACTTTTAACATGTACAGGATAGATTGCACGCCTCTTTTCTGGATGATATTCATTTTTTTAAAAATTACAAGAGAGTTCTAGGACCCTACTGAAGTTTTAAGTATGGCTTACATCTACTGACTATTGTATATGATGCAAATGATTTACACTCCACTCCTAACCTAAAGGTTGGTGATTCGAACCTATCTAGCAGCACCACAGAGGAAAGTCCTGGCAATCTGCTTCCATAAAGATTACAACCAAGAAAACCCTATGGAGCAGCTTTACTCTGTAACACATAGGATTACTATGAGTTGGAATCCACTTGATGACAATGCATTTTTTTGTTTGTTTGTTTGTTTTTTTGGGAGGGAGAGTTGGCTTACACATGCATACAACTTACAGCAGCATTTTCTTAGGCAAAGTAACCACATTGGTGCCTTTATTGAGGGCAAGGGGAATGAGAAATATTATTGCCTATATAGATGTTCAATAAATATTTGATATAATATATGTTTATGAATAGATTATATTGTATATTCCCACTACAGGATAGATGGTGGGAAAATATCCATAGGTGTGTATCTTTATTGGAATTTTTTGGAAAGAAGTTAAAACACATAAATAAAAAATTTTTTTGGAGGGAGGGCTTATAGCATTAACAAGAACTGCTTAAAACGTTGTATATTTGCTTGCTTGGTTTTTGTTTGTTTAACAGACTCTTTTTTAGAGTAACTTTAGGTTTGCGGAAGCCCTAGTGGCATAATGGGTTAAGAACTATGGCTGCTAACCAAAAAGTTGGCAGTTCAAATCCACCAGGCGCCCCTTGGAAACCTTATGGGGCAGTTCTACTCTGTCCTGTAGGGTTACTATGAGTTGGAATCCACTTGACGGCAATGGGTTTAGGTTTACAGGAAAATTGGGCAGAAAGTACAGAGTTTGTTCCCCATATGCCCCTCCTCCCGCTTACATGCAGTTTCTCATATTGTTAAAATTGTGTATTTGTGTGTTACATTTATTACCATTGCTGAACAAACATTGGCACATTATTAACTAAAGTCTGTAGTTTACATTAGGGTTCACTTTTGTGTTGTATAGTCTTGTGGGTTTTAACAAATGCATAATATCATGTGTGCACCATTAAAGTATCACACAAAATAGTTTCACTGCCCTCAAAATCCCATGTGTTCCACCTGTTCATCCCTCTGCCTTTTCCCTAAACTGGTGGCAGCCACTGATCTTTTTACTGTCTCTGTAGTTTTGCCTTTTCCAGAATGCCATGTAGTTAGACTTATATTAAACCCGTTGCCGTTGAGTCAATTCTGACTCCATAGCAACCCTATAGGACAGAGTAGAGCTGCCCCATAGGGCTTTTGGTTAGCAGCCGAGCTCTTAGCCACCGGGCCACCAGGGCTCCTAGACTCATATAGTTTATAGCTTTTTCAAACTGGCTTCTTTCACTTGGCAATATGCACTTCCGATTCCTCCATGTTTTGTCATGGCTTGATAGCTTATTTATTTTTATCATGAATAATACTCTGTTGTCTAGATGTACCACAGTTTATTTATCCATTCACCTACTGAAGGACATCTTGATTGCTGCCAATTTTGGCAATTGTGAATAAAGCTGCTATAAACATTCGTGTACAAGTTTTTATGTCAACATACATTTTCAGCTCATTTGGGTAAATTCCTAGGTGTGTGATTGTTGGAACAAATGTTAAGCCTGTGCTTAGCTTTGTAAGAAACTTCCAGACTGGCTTCCAAAATGGCTGTATCATTTTGCATTCCTACCAGCAATAAATGAGAATTCCTGTTGATCCACATCCTCACCAATGTTTAGTGTTTTCAATGTTTTGAATTTTAGCCATTCTAACCATAAGTTGGAATTGATTTGATGGCAGCTGGTTCTGTGTGTGTGTGTTTTAATAGGTGTATAGTTGCATCTCATTGTTATTTTAATTTGCAGTTCCCTAATGACATATGGGAGCCCTGGTGGTACAGTGGTTAAGAGCTCAGGCTGTTAACCAAAAGGTCAGCAATTCGAATCCACCAGCTGCTCCTTGGAAACCCTATGGGGCAGTTTTACTCTGTCCTATAGGGTTGCTATGAGTCGGAATCGACTCACCAGCAACAGGTTTGTTTGTTTTTTTGATAAGTACACATGATGTTGTGATATTGAGCATCTTTTCATATGCTTATTTGCCATCTGTATGTCTTTTTTGGTAAGGTACCTTCTCATATCTTTTGCCCATTTTGTAATTGAGTGTTTGTTTTCAGGGTTCTTCGTGTGTTTTGTATACAATGTTTTTTTTTGGGGAGCAAATATTTGTGTATATAAGGTTCATTGCTCCAGTTTAAAATTGTTCCATAACAGTGTTTTTTAACCTGGAAACTCAGAAGGGAGAGAGAACACATATAAATTACTTAAAGATATCTATCGTAATAGTATAAGATGACTTTTAGAATATATATTGGATTAAAGTCAATATTCATTCATGCAAAAGCGTTTATTGAATGACTGCAACGTATTACAATACTAAGAGGCTGGACTGCTTTCTGTCTAGTTTTTGGTTCTATCCTTTCTTCAAAGGAGTAGAGATGAGGCCTGATTCTAGGTGAGTTTTAAATCCTATTTTATTTATTAAGAGAATAAAGCTCTAAAATAGATTCAGATTTTTATTATATAATAAACCAAAATGTTCATATTCTAATCTATTATTTGCTAATTATCCTTGGGTTCCATCCCAGTATTGCCTAAAGGAAAATGAGGATGTATATTGCTAATATCTTTGTATTAGCCTAGATTGCATAAAGAATTTTATGTTCTCTTATACCTTGACAGGTTGGTACAGAGGATATACCCTCCAAAATAAATCTAAAAAGGTATGGTTTATCATTCAGATTTTTTAATTAATTTGAAATGTCTATTAATTTTGTGTTGTTCTGTCTGATCTGTGCTATCTCTAGACTTAGTTTTTTCCTTGATGGCTATACTTTAGACTTTAAAACAAATTCTCTGACCTTAGTGCTCAAATAAAATAGTGCAAATTGCATCCATCATTTTCTCACCAACCAATTCAAAGATCAAGGCCAGAGGTCAGCTTAGGCACTAGGCAGGGCCTCCACCACCCTCTCCTCCCTGTGCCTCAAGCTAAGCTGGTGGTGGTACAGTAAGTGTCATTGCCATAGATGGGTCTCTGTTTCAGTGAGGGACCCATGCATGTCCTTTTATCCTTTAGTTCCAGTGCTAAAATCCCAGAACTAAAGGATCTCCCATTTCCACTTGATTCTTTCCTTCATTGTAAAATGGGTAAACCAGAGTAGTGTTTTTCAGACTTGAGCCTCACAACCACAATAATATATCATAGAATCATCGTAGTGGATTATAACCAACATATTCCTAAATTTGAAACTTCGTGACACTTTTGTTTTAGGTGTATATTTTTATGGATATCTGTGCAGTACCAGGTTGCCATGAAAATGCATTTCTTACTATTAGTCATGGTCAAAGGGTTTGAAAAAACACTAAACTAGAGGGTTCTTTTCCCAGTGCCAAAGCTACTAATCATCAAGCTAAAGAAAATCTATTAAGTATTTTAATACCTCCCTCAGCTTATTTTTGGTCGGGTCAGCTCTTTTCCTTTGGCACTGTAGCCAGGGGCAGCAGAGCATGTCAGCACTTTCTTTTGAAAAAGCCAACTTGATAGGGCTTTATTATTTCACAGTGAGTTCACGTGGCAAATAGAGAATTAGGAAACTTTTTAGAATTTATCAAGAGATAAGTAAAAAAGCCTACAGTTTTTATTCTTCAGAAAATAGCATAAGGTAGAAGTAATCCTTGCACACACATAGGCTGATGTTAGACACATACCACTCAAAGGAATGTAGGGCCCAGAAAAGCACCAGTTCCGTTGAGTCGACCCTGACTCACGGCAACCCCGTCTGTGTCAGAGTAGAACTGTGCTTCATAAGGTTTTCAGTGGCTGATTTTTTTGGAAGTGGATCACCAGGCCTTTCTTCCTAGGCACCTCTGGGTAGACTTGAACCTTCAACCTTTCCATTAGCAGCTTAGAGTGTTAACAGTTTACATCCTCAGGGACTCTTCTACAGGCTAAAAACCAAACTAGTTTCTGTTTAGCCTGTTTTGACTCATGGCAAGCCTATGTGTGTCCAAGGGACTCTTTCTACAGGGTAATAACCAACAAACCAGTTACTGTGGAGTTGGTTCTGACTTACGGTGACCTCATGTGTGTCAGAGTAGAACTGTGCTCCACAGGATTTTCGGTGGCTGATTTTTTCAGAAGTAGATCCCCAGGCCTTTCTTCAGAGGTGCCTTTGGGTGAACTCCCGCCAGCTTCTCAATTAGCAGCTGAGCGCATTAACTGTTGCACCACCCAGGGACCCTATGTAGGGTATAAGCCATTAAAAGCCAAGACTTTTTGGTTAAGCTTTCTATATTATTAAATCTTAAATCACACTTAATATTTGCATATGTATGTATGCACACATACACTTTGTTATCTTTCACAATTTAATAATCTACCACATGAAGGTATATTTGCTTTTAATGCAGATATCAACTTCCCCAATTGAGAAGTAAAGACCTTCCTTTCTATTTTAGAGTACCTGGAATATGGCCAATCTCGCTTTTTGGTTTGGGCTTAACCCTATCAGTGTTGACTTTACTCATAGTTATGGAAATGGTAGTCGTCTCAAAGGTGATTAGAGTTAACAAATTTGAAGTTCTAACTTTGTTAAAGAGCAAGAATACTTACGTCATTTAATTCCCAGTCCTTTTAAAAAAAAAACTGAATTTTAAAAAACAAACAAAATGCTACTGTCAGATGAAATCATTTGAATATAAGGAACAAATAAAGCTCTTGATTTTTAAATGATAAATGTCAATCACTTTGAAACAGGTTCTCAGACCACAGATTTTCCCTTTTAGAGAGCCTACAGTATTTAATATACTTTTCTTGCATGGAAGACCTTTGTTTCTAAGGCATCTTAGGATTTCCTAATATATCCAAATCCACCCAGGAAGTGCCCTTTGGGTCTGCTTTGAAAAGAGGGTGGATGGGGTGCCCTGCTAGAATCTAAATGACAGGTTCTGGATGGTTTTTAACTTTTTTTTTTTTAACCTCTCATTTAACCTCACCCTTTAGAAGAATTATTTCAGCTTCTCTTAGTTCTTGACAATTGAAGAAAAACTTTGCAATTCACTGAAATGATGGCACAAACAAGGGCTGTGCACTATTTGTTGATTTTGAAAGTGAAATTTCTTTCTTGTGAAGAGATCCAAGAAAAATAGAGGAAATTCAAAGTCAGTCATCGTGAATTACACTCACCTTTTGACACCGCTTCATTAAGAGATCCAGCCCATTGGACATGTTCCTTTAATGCGACAGCTTTGTTTGCTGGTCTTTAGGGGAAGAGCTATTGAAAAGACCATTGCTTTAACGGGACTTTTTGGTGTTATTTATTAGCAGACCTAGCCATTTAGAGTGGTAAGATGAGCTAGTGGTTTTGCAATTGAAGAAGCCAAGAGCATTTCAGAATTGATTATTCATCTGGTAGTGTGGGGTGTGGGAGTGTGGATAAAGGCAATATCTAGAAAATCATTAGTTTGTTTTTTTACTTACATGAGTGAGTTGCACTGAGAAAGGAAAAGCCGACTTGAGAGATAGGCTGTCAATCAAAAATGTATCATCCAGGTTTACTCTGGCTTTATGTGTGTCTTAAAGCCTAGGAAAAGTTCTACAAAGCCCAGATTTTTCGGGACAATCGAATGACTGTAAATGGCCATATGCTGTCATGGAAAGATGATGCTTACAAATGACAGCACAGTAAAAGAGCAAAATAAACAATCTCTTGATATGAAAATCTGTCATGCCTGCATACACGGTATAAATTATCTGCTTATGATCTGTTTAACTGTCACAAAATAAGTCACTGTTTAGTTTTATTCCTGAATACTTCTATATTGGCTTTGTCCCTGTTGTTAGGAGACCAGTCATCAGATTTTGAATGCATGAGAATTTTGATCGGTTCTTTCATCTTGATTTTGAAAATCTTCTGCAAGGATATTTCTTTGGACTAACAACCTTACACCTTACTTTAACCTCTAAACGTGACTCTTAAAATTACAGCTTTAAGCAGTTCAACACTACTCGACCCCCCTCTTTTTTATTAGTTCTGGACATTTTAAGCTGATTCTCCACAGAGTTGATAGTCAACAAAGCATAGCTTAGCTTAGCAGATAGAGGAAACCCAAAGTTACTCAGTTATCATAAGGACCGGTCTGGAGCTTCAAAATTCTTCCTTCCTCGTCAGAAATCAGGCCCAGAGGAATTATGAGCATATTGAATATTTGTTTGTTTTAAACTGTTCAGTCCATTTTCTAAAATCACTGTGAATCCTGGTCCCATTATGAAAGAGGTCGGTGCCACCTTGTCCCTGCGTGCATCTTGATCTGTTATTAATGGATGTGCGATAGTGCTTTCTTATATACACATCCATTCCTGTCCTTTTCTCAAAGCCAGGAGGAGAATTATGCACTATTTTTTTTTTTTTGTTGTTCTTCCTGCCTGGCAGGAAAGGGTGGTCATTTTGCTTCTGACTCAAGCAGTGGCAGGATCCACTCTGTCATCACCGATGCTGAGAGCAGCTTAATTTCACATTTTCTTGCAGTTTCCTGTTTTACTGGCAAAGGATTGAAAGGGAGAAAGAAGAGTATTGTACTGATACAGTACATGAAACTGGACACAAAACTAATCCATGTTGAAGCGCACTAGTTTTCCATCCCTAAGTGGATTAAGGATCCCTGGGTACATGTCTTTGATCCTAGTCCTCCAGGCAGTGGGATACCCCCTCCCACCTTTGTGGTCAGCCACCCCTCACGTGTAACATCCACAGGATTCACACTATCTTTTACAGGTGCCGGGCTAGGACTAGTTGAGTCAGTGGTTCCAGTTAAGAGGATTCTTCTCCGATCTCTACTGGTCTGGCATATACGATGCCATAAAACCAATGCCTTTTCCAGATGACATTTTCTCTTATTTTTGTTGTTAGTTGTCATCGAGTCGCCTCCGACTCATGGCGACCTTACATATAACAGAGCGAAACATTACCTGGCCTTGCTCCATCCTCACAATCTCTGGTATGTGTGAGCCTATTGTTGCAGTCACCATGTAAGTCCATCTCTTGGAGAGTTTCTCTATTTACTGAGGAGCATATTACACAGGAGAACAACAAAGTTTTTGAGTATTTAAGAAAACTCATCTATCACTTGCTTCCTGTTAATTATATCTGATACGCAGTTTCTACCAACTGGTTCTCTTGTCTTTCTTGTAGGTCTGTCAGGGCCTTAGTTTTCCCCATGGGCAATGTCACAATACTGATGTAGAACTGTTTCTTAGGAATATAGAATGGAGAGCATTTTGAGACTGAAATGCTAAAATTAACCAGGTAACTAATACGAATTGATTTTGGGTGCATTCTGTTTAAGTGAAAGTGCCGAGAAGAATTACTTTAGAAAATTACTATAATTTTATGGGCCACTAAGTACACAGCCATCCATCTCACTAATTATGTGCAATGATTTAAGGAAAGCATCGCATGGCATGTAGAATCTGGAGGGGTTTTAGGAGCTCATTATTAAACTCCTTACCATTATTGTAGCCCTGACTTGACCCAGGCATGTTTGCCTCTTCATTTATGATGCATTTATCCTATGCTGTCTGAATCCTAGTCTTGGTTTATAACTTTTATATGTTTTGGCCCTGACTTCATTTAGGTAGCCAGCCAGTGGAATTGATACCTTGCAAGCCAGACTGCAAAGTTCAGTTATTATAAAGGTTTCTCTTTGTCCTCCCATTCACTCTTGTGCATTTCATATTCTTTAGTTCGGGCTGAGATTTTGAGTGTATAACCAAAGTTCTTCTCTCTGTAGGGTATTTTCCCTGAAACATACATCCATTTGAAAGCGGCAACTGTGGAAGACCGAGGGTAAGTTCCAACCAAACAAGACTCTTAAAAATGATGAAGATGTAAAATTATCATTAAAGAATGTCTTAAACCAAACCCACTGCTGTCGAGTCAATTCCAACTCATAGCGACCCTATAGGACAGAGTAGAACTGCCCCATAGGATTTCCAAGGCTATGAATATTTACAGAAGCAGACTGCCACAGCATTATTCCACAGAGCGATTGGTGGATTTGAACCATCTGTCTTTTGGTTAGCAGCAGAGCGCTTTAACCACTGTGCTACCAGAGCTCCAAAGAATGTCTTATGAACTTTAATATCTCGTCAGTTCCACTTCTTCTCTTATGAGTGAGATATAGATAAAAACTTCTTCCTGACGTGATTCCTTTTTCTGTCTTCTCTTTCCTCCCTGACATCCTTCCCCAGAGTCGCAAAAGACAGAGGTAATAAACTGAGGGCCTTTACCTTCCCCTTGTGCTGCCTGCTCAGTGATGAGTGTGTGTGTGTGTGTGTGTGTGTGTGTATGTTCATACACATGAACATTTGGGCCTCTTTGGCTGTTAAGACCTAAGAAGCCCCCAATTTGGGATCTTTGGGAGTTAGATGAGTAGGCTACATCACCTACTTATCAGACCTGAACTGACAGATCAGTTAACCTCAGTGCACCTTGGGCTTTTCACTGAAAATTAGGGAACACAGATCTGGCCCTGTGTTGGTCATGAGCTTGATGTGAGAGTCAAATGAAATCATGTATATGAATGGGCCCTGCAAAGAAAATCCGTGAAGTTTTGGATATTGTTATTCCTTGCCCACCTTACCGTTTGTCCTGGAAAGTACTACCTCTATGGCAGTAAAGAAGAGTGAATACATGGCATCAAGTCCGGGAGAAAGACCTCTTAATTGGTCAGCCTACTGGCCAGAAAGTTCTGGAAGTAATAAGGAGAGCCTAGAGTAGGACTGGAATCCCAGGGTGGATAGAGAATGGAGTGGGGCCAAGGGAGAAAAGGACAGCTGGGTCTCAGACTCACACAGACTCAAAGGTGGAAAGAACGTTCTTAGTCATAAGTTCAGCACTCTCATTTCATAGACAAGAGGTAGAGACCAACTCTGATAGAAGAACCAGGCCAGAAACCAGGTCTTCTGCCTTCCTGGAGAAGTATTCTTTCTAATGGACTATCCTGGGCAGCTTCCACTGTCACCACCCACAATGATGTTGAGGCGGCGTTGTAGGCATGACCCACTAATTAGACTCGCTAGATAAGATTCAGGATGCTCAGTTAAATTTGAAATTCAGGTAATGACAAGTAAATTTTGTACTGTAAGTATGTCCCCAATATCGTATGAGATATGCTTATACTAAAGAATTATTTGTAATATATCTAAAGTTCAGATTTATCTGGGCATTTTGTTGATTTTATTTGCTAAATCTGACAGTCCTGCCACTAATCCCCATTTGTTTGCTTGCTCTCACTCATCTTTTCTATTTGCTAATCATAAAAATATCGGAATTTATGTGAATAAATGTAAAACCTATATTTTTATAAGTCTAATGTGAAGTGGGAGTCCCTGGGTGGTGCAAATGGTTAAGCACTTGACTACTAGCCAGAAAGTTGGCAGTTCAAACCCAGAGGCACCTTGGAACAAAGGCCTGGCCATCTGCTTCTGAAAGGCCACAGCCTTGAAAACCCGATGGAGCAATTCTACTCTGCACACATGGGCTTGTCACGAGTTGGAATTGACTTGACAGCAACTGACAACAACAGCAGTGTAAAGGGAGGCTTTGGGTATATGTTAGTTTTCTGTGCTGTAAAGTGGCAGATGAGAAGAAAAGCCAGTACCGTTCCAAGAGAGAGCACTGCCTCAGTCCCAGCTGGCAGGCTAAGTGTGAGATCACAAGCCCAGGGCTTTTTTGACCAGGCACTGTTCTCCACCGCACTCTCCTTAATGAAATGACTGCTGGGCAAAACTGACTAAAATACTGGATTTTTGCTTTCATCACTGGGAGTCACTGAAGCCAGCCTGGTCAGTAACTTAGGTTCTCATAGAGATCCCATATGAGGAGGTACAAGCTGAGCTGTCGGCCCATTTCATTGCAGAAACTCTGTTCATCTTGAGAACTGTGGTATTCTAAGCTCCTTTTCTCTGATACATAAATTTGATTAAAGTCCCTTATACAAATTTTGCTTTGTTTCAAGCACAACCAGCCCCATTCAAGCACAAGCAGCCCCATTCTAGCTTGGAGTTTGGGGAGTATGACATTTCTCAAGGAAAGCAGCAATGATCAGTGCAGGTAAAGTGAGCCTCTGTTTGATTCTCCTTAGGCAGAATGAGACCGTGATTCCAGGTGAGCTTCCACTGGTGCAGGAGCTCACTTCCACTCTGAGAGAATGGGCCGTCATCTGGCGCAAGCTCTATGTGGTGAGTTTCCCCTGGGACTTGAAGCTTGAGACATTATCCTTGGACCTCAGACCATTCACCTATACAAGGTGCCTGTCACTTATTACCTCGCTGCACAGAGTGGGACTCATCCTGGACCACACAATGTCTGATAACCAGACTTCCTCAGAGTAGGATCATTGATGATATAGAACAATGGGGGAAGAGGACATAATTGTCATTTTTTTCTCAATTTCTCAATTTTTTTCTCAAACATCCTGGTTGTAAAAGTAATAATGATAATAATAATTACAAACACTTCCAAAGCACTTACCAAGTGCCAGAAAAGACTTTTCAGCGTCCCTATAAATTAGATATACTTATTATCAGTTTATTGATGTGAACACTGAGGGAAGTGCTCTTGACCTTACATGTATATCTGGAAAAAAACAAAACAAAACTCACATTGCCTTTGAGTCAATTCCGACTCATAGAGACCCTATTCCAGCTACCCTATACATCTATACCAGTGATTAGGAATTTGTTAAGCCATAAGAGGGCTCACACAAGGGGGGCATTCTTTACCTTGGTGAATAAATGTTACAGACTCAATAGCCTGAGTTGTTTTAAGACATGACCTGGAGATTCTTCTTTTCGGGACCGACTCCCAGTACTCCATCTCACACTGGTTTGACCTCAATGTTAATATGAAATCCCAGTTCAGGGGGACATTACACAGGATCCAGCATGTTCTCTCCGTGATAAACCATAATCAGAAGTTCTGTGCAGGTTTGCAGTCAGGACAGGGTAAGTCTAGTATCCAATATTATCAGCCTGAGAGAGCCTGAGGAGCCATTTTGCCAGAAGGCCAGAATACTGAGTCTGTTGGCAGCAAGCCTACACTCATCTCCACATTAGGAAGCTCTTTCCTAGATGTTGGAGTGCACAAACTCTCTTCTGAAGTTCTCTTTCCTGGAGGCCTAGTAGATAAGCATCACTAGGCCTTCTCTCTATAATCATCTTCCATGCTTCTATAACTGACCAAAAATCCCTGCGATGAAGTTATATTCTCTCCATAGGTGTGTAAACAGGTTCAGTCAGGTTATATAGACTAGACCTGAAGGCCTGGGAGCCATTCTGTGTCCTTCATGTGGCTTTATTTATCTAGATGTTTGTTCAGTCATGTGTTGATTCTTGATTTTCACTCTTGAAGGCCAATCTTATTAAGTTATTGGGACCAACTCACTCTGAGTACTAAAAACAGTGATCAAATGCTCATTCAAACATAATTTCTAAAAGCTAATGTATGATATTTTACTTCTGTCCAGGGCTGTTGTTTACCATGATGAATCACAGCAGCAGAAATCACAACCCTGGTAGGGGAAGCATGCATGCCTCTTCTCTGCCTGCCGGTCTTTCAAGGCCTAATTTAAGTCCTTTTCTTCATAATGCAGCTTCTAAGCACACCAATCCATAACGTTTCCTGCTGGACTATATAGCACCACTTACTGTTTGATGCATCATCTGACCCTTGGGGCATTCTGCCTTGTAGTGAAGCTGATCTTTTGATCTCTCTGTGTTATGTGAGGACAGAGCTAACTTACAAGTTCCTAAATCATCAGCTCTTGGAGGACAGAGATGCTGCTGTAAGCCTGGCAGTCTAAATGGATGTCTTGTACTTTCATAGAAAGCATTCTTCGATTCTGGTTAATTGATTTGTTAGTGGTGGATGTAGCAAGCTTCATGGGTGAGAATATCACGTGCATGAGTTTGTTCCTTAGCATTTTCTTTCTGGAAATTGATGAGTGGTGAAACGTGTTAGATGATAAGTGCTGGGAAACGAGATTTTTACAATGTAATGTTTAAGAGCGGAGATTATGAAGGAGGTAGATTTTTTTTCTTCTTGCTGTGCTCAGGTCATTGTCTATGTCCTTTGTACATTCACAGGTAATTGTGCCAAGTCTGCTACTGAGTGGAAATGAGAAATAAGTGAACAGGGGTGAAGTCATATGATTCATGTATTTGGGCCCCCCAAGTCACTATGTAGCCAGTGGTGATATGCTCATGTTACATTCGCCAGATTTCCTGTGTGGGAGTTTCACTATTTAACGGCAGAGTTGGGTTTAACGTGAAGGGAGAAACAAGCCATCTCTTGGTATTTCAGAGGACAGCACATTTTCTCATCTAATTAAACAGTTGTTTTGTTTTCTCTGAATATTTTTAAATGCCTTACACCTGCCATTGATTGCCAAAAAGACATTCATTG